GCTCGCGTCCGTGATCGGGGCAGAATGGAGGCTGGAAGGGGAGGAACGCTCCCGGTGGAATCGGTTTCGCGGCCGAGCACTGATGCAATCCTTTCCGCGTCTTGCGTCAGGGTTTTGGCCGGAAGGGTCTTCGGGGAAACGTCTTCCTGTGTTTATTTTCGTGTTGCAAACGAAGTCGCTTTAAATACATCCGTCGACGTTTTTCGCTGCACACTGGTTGCGCCTAGCCTGCCCGTGAAGATGCAAAAACACGGGAGAAAGTTTTTTCATCAATTTCGTTTCGGAGGAAAACGATCGCCAAAAACTGGAGATGGAATATCGGTGTCCGAATCGGTTTGTGTCAGCATTGGTGGCATATGCAGTACCAGTAAATCATATGCTCATTGCTCATCTCTACCTCTATTATTTGAACTAAAAATGTTCACATGTACATTCTCGTCCAATGGGCCTGTGTAAAAATCTAATTCCAGAAAGGAATTCCAGGGAAAGAAAGTTCCAGAACCTGAAACTACAAAAAATCGATTGGTCTTTGAGTTTCCGTTAACTGAAACTTAAAATCCTGAACGGAGACTCCACGTTACCGCTATTAAATTAAATTTACTAATTTACTAAGAAACTGAATTTAAAAATTTTCTTTTTTTTAAACAGAACTTGAATTGAAAAATATATACTCCCAGAAAACTGTTGAAACCAAAACCTTACACAGTTTGAAAGTGACATCAACCTACTTCTGAAACCACACTGCGGTATCGGAGCATACCCCGCCCCCTACCCCCCCTCCCCCCCCCCCCCAAAAAAAAAAAAAAATATATATATATATATAAATATAAAAAAGTTGGAAAATGGAGCCTGAATGAACTGTGCTACACACTGAATCTCCTACAAAAAGTCAAGCTGAGAGCAGATCGTTTGGCTTAGGTATGTGAATAGCAGAAAAATAATACTTGATTTGCTGCGTATGTTAGACATTATTCCTTTACCAGCATAAGCGCTTAATTTAAGCCTCAACCGCATGAATGTACAGTATTTAGTTATTTCTAGGAGGGGCTTAAGGGCTCTTTGAGCCACGTTAATTTAAAACGCATGAATACAGATTTTAATTTCCAACCAGAATTACCAGTAGGATTCATTTTATCTGTAATAGAACGCAATTGCCCAATTCCCCAGCCTTGGAGGCCCTACCCCTTCATGCGGAAGAAAGTTAAATGGGAATATGATGAGGCCCTGGTAGCCTCGGCCGACGCAGCTCTCAAATCAAGATATCTGTGGAAAAGGATTCGGCCCGGGCCCAACCGTTCCCGTTCTGTGCGATGGAAAACGATTCGAGGGAAGAAAGGAGACATGCAGGGCTCGGTGGCATTGTGCCTCCTTCCTTTTTGCTGGGCATTCCGGCCTGCCCTTTAGCCCTCCGACGCCTCGTGATGGATTAAAAGAGAATCTTTCCATCTCGCGCCTTCTGGAAATCGCATTACCCTTGATTTTCCCCTCGAACGCCTGTCGTTCCATTCCGCAATGAAGGTATGTTGGATATAATAAATCTGCGTTTAGCTGTCAGGTGTGCCATTTGCCCTCATCGCGGAACAGGACGGCGATCATTCTGAGGAAAAGGGACCACACCGGCTCGAGAATGCTGGAATGTTTTCATTTGGACCTGACTGTACGCCCAATTTTAATGCGCGGCAGGAATGGAACAAAAGAAGCACCCCGCTTCCGCCTACGTCACTAACGCACGATCGATTTGCTTCTGCATACCATGGCCTCGTTTCCGGAGAACCTTGGAAGGGTGGCAGCGGCCCACAACCTCACTTCCCCCCATGCGCTATTTATATACTGCACTGGGACTCGGAGATGGAATGCCCTACTGAATATTTTCTAACCTTCGACCCAGGATTCCTTATTCGGCACAGGGGAGCGAGCGGGGGGAGGGGGGGAGGGAAGGGAGGGAGGACCTTGTAATTGGAAACCTTCCCGACAAAGAAATCGGAGCAAGGTCTATGCCAGAAGTAACGAGCACTGCATGCATGCTTGCATTCCCATCCAGCAGCAATTTCTCGTGGAAGAGATGGTGATGAGGACAAAAGGGAAGTCACACACTTTTCGCCTGCCAGTCACTACGAGAGACGTAAATTATGAATTCGCACTTACGCTGATCTATATTTGGCATGGGTACCAGGAGTACGAGTAAGATCTCCATGGGATTACGTCAGATCACTCCAGAGGGCGAAAGAGAGAAATGGGGGAGGGGCTGAGACTTATCGATTCCGTCTGGGATCCCCCGCATCCTACCGTTTTGCATCGCCGGCCATTCACGCAGGGAGGAATCCGTACTCACCAGCTCTTGCTTGCTTTTGACCTTGGGAGGTCCCGACGGCTTCCTCTGCTTCCGGTAGAAATAGATGGCGACGGAAACGCCGAGGAGAGACGCGAGACCGCCGGCGATCCCAAAGACGGCATGACTGGCGAAAGGCATCGGCGTCGACGAGGGGAACGTGGCTACTCACTCCTGCAGCATAACACGCGCACAGAGGTCAGGGTCACGCACGCACGTCGAGGGGGGTCGGGCAGAACCGATCCAAGCGGGGGAGGCGAGCCGGGGGAGGAATGTCGATGACTAAGACCCGTCACTCGGCAGATGCAGTCTCTGAGCTAGCAGCGACGGCTGACTGGCGACTACATCCAGGTTGGCGCATCGCCTTCCCCTGATGCCGACTGGGCCTTGGGCTTAGGCTCCGGCCAATACGCGTATTCTCGACGGTGCCGAAAATAGCGCGGAAGACTTGGCGGCTTGCCCTGCCTTCGTCGTTTCGCGCGGTACGCGGGACGCGAGATCCTGCTTCGTGTCGCAATGCGTCCCGTTCTGCGTCACCTTCAAATGAACTTTGTGCGCTCGAAACACAGAAGTGGATCATGGCAAGGTCGTGAGCAAATGCAGGTGACGCGTAGTAAAGCAGGAATCTACGAGGTGGTCACAATTTTTGCAACTGGTCAGCTACAATAACCGTAAGCTAAATGTTTGTTATTAACAAATAAGCTATTGCTCATTCAAATCTCCCATCGGTAATTGGTTTGACCACTCTTGCAGCGGTAATCGCGCAGGGTGCGATCCAAGCGAGCTCTAGAACGAGTCCGTGGCGTATTCCAACCTGAAGAACACTGCATGCTGGTGCTCGATGAGCGTCTACTCGTGTGAATTTGCTTGCTCTGTCTTCTAAAGTCATCATTTAGTCTTTCGAGATGGATCCAAAGTGATTTGCGTGTTTCAAATCGGCCACGCATCTGCCCAAAGTGGATTCCAATTGGACAAGAGGAGAAAGACTTCTAGAGAATTATCTTCGAAAAATATTCGGCTGTCCAGATCCCCTGTTTCTTTTTCGAAACGGGATCCTCCGCTAATATGGAGCAGGACTTCCTTTCGGACCCCAGAGCCCACTTTTGGATGTCGGACCCACGACTGGAACATTGGGAATCCCGCTGAGGTGTGCGACGAAGCCCTTTGCTTCCGTGCCAACGCCAACAAAGAGCTCCTCAGTCCAAAGTGGAATCTTTTTTTTTTCCACCTTGGAGTCATCTCGAAAGATCAAGTTGAAGGGGAAATTATTTCAGAAGACGGAGGAAGTAGATTATCTAAACAAAAAGATAATTGAAGACTTGAATGCAGGGCTTCAAGGGCTGGGACTCACCACGGACTCACTCGTTCGAGAGCTTGTTCAGATCATACCCAGCGCGATTTCCCGCCGTGATAGATGCCCAAGGTCACACTAAATGCTGACAGGGACTTGAATGGACAATAAGTTATTTATTAATATCAAACATTCATTTATATGGTTATTGCAGTTGACCCCGAGGCAAAGGCTTTTCAACGCCCCGTAGATAATTTATTGTTGATAGTACCAAGCGCAACTTGATTTCACTCCTCCAATAAATCCCTGAACCATTGCAGAAAATCTCTTACTGAATTTATGCACAACTAGAAATTCGAATTGACATCCTCGAAGCAGAGAGCAACTGGTGTAACAAAGACAAGGCAAACTAAGGTTCGATAGCACGACTTTTCTGCCAGCTCTTCCCGAGTATCCAATGTTACGTTCCAGAAGTTGCTGTGAATATGATGTGGGGAGAGGGGGTGGGTGGCATTCAACGTCTCCCTCGTAGGCTCTGGGGGTAAGAGTGGTCCTGAGTGGGATCTCAAGATGTCGCGACCTGTCCCACTCTCCCCAAGTCCCGAATTCTTACACTCCCCTTCAATAACATCATGAAGTCTGCAGCCACGCAGGATAGGTCTCAAGCATTGGCATGTCCAAGGGGGGGTTCAGGTTTGAATCCCCCCTTGGTCTACGAAGGCGCATGCAGGGGCCGAGGTTCCGTTCAGCACACCTCCTCATACCTTCGCAGCCTCCAATCGTCTCCTTTGATGGGGAAGCGAACCTTCGATGACGAACCATGGTGCTCGATGGTAAGGCCGAGCCTGGGTAACGCATCGACGGTTACTACTTGAATCAAATTAAGTCCTTTTGCGGAGGTAATACGAAAACATGCTTGACAGTTTGGCATATCGCTGCCAACATAAGGAATTATTACATGAAAGACGCAAATACGAGGCTGATGTCAATAGTCCTCAGACTTCATCTCCAAATACCTGATAAAATGAAACTTAGCAGTTTTATTAAGTAAAGAAAGACCACCTCTACGTTAAGTTCTAGTCTCAGAGCAATTATACGTTACTGCAGGATTGCTTTTATTTTTCAAGATAATCAAACGAATCCCGCAACTATGCCTGGTCATGGACTGAAACAAATTCAGCCATGTTCTAAACTCCAGCCAGTTGCTTCCTTTATATTATGGAAGAGACATGTAATATTGAACCGAAACGTCACACATGCAAAAAGCTTCAGTGCCTTTTCCATCAGGCTGTTCCCTATTGCAAAGTAACAGCAACGACGTACAGGAATAATTCATTTATTCCAAATACAAAACAATGAAGTAAAAACAAGAAAAACATATCTGGTAGTTTTGAATTTCTCACAGAAGCTTGCTCCCTTCTGTCGGTGTGCCTCTAAGAGGCTCTCTCACATCACTGAAAAATCCACCATGCATATGCTTCTCCCTAGGAGAGGCAGATAAGCGTATCTGGGTGGGACAGCAAGCTCAAAATTTTCCTCTATGATGGGAGATAGAATCAGAAGACTATCTTTAAAATCACTGGACTCTTGCTGAAGGAGGGTTATAAAAGAAATGCTATTAAAAAAATCAAATATTGATAAAAGAAGGAGCCATCACAGAAAATGCTGTGATATGACTGGGGATTGACATGGCATGGAGGAGGCTAACTCTTTTTTCCTCCCCTCTTTTCCTCCATATTGCCACGGGCACGCTTGAGGATGTGTCGAGTGCGATGGAGCTGGCGGCATATTGCAGTCTCCAAACCTTCCTTGCGGTGATTTGCCCTGGCCAACCGCTCCAAAGCTTCTTCTAGAGCTTGCTGTGTGGAAGCTAATTCACCCTTTAGACGTTCCACCTCAGCAGTGTAAGTGTCTTGGTCTACAGAGAAAATAAGAATGAAACATGCTTCCATGAATTCATGGGGAATTTTCCAACCTCGATAAGGCAGAAAGAAGGTTCTCACCTGATGAAGTGGCAGAATCTTGCAAGGCCTTCTCTCTATCACAATACATAATGGTGACATCTCCATCTTGAGACTTCAAAGAGGTGGGAGGGTGAGTGCATTTATTCAAGTCACGCTTGGGAAGCTCCATTCGAGATTCCAAGCTGGAGAACTTCTGAACATCAGATTCAATGCCTTGATCAGGTGAAGAATCAAACAAGGGACCTGGTTGCTGTTTTCCTTGATGCTTAGACCTTGGGACTCCTTTCTGAGGACCCTGCTTCATAGCAATACAGAAGACCCATGTTCAACTGAATCTTTTCCAAGAAGCTACTACATTTGATGCTTGATATAACAAACTTGAATGGACAGGCTAAAAATTTCATTATAAGGTAAATTCGTTTTAGGGATTTTCCTAAATTTTACTGGAAAAAATAGGCATGTTCAATAAGAATTGGACAAGTCACGAATGCTGTCTATTCATTTGAAACAAAGTCCCAACTGGTTTTCAGCTGCATTTTTTCTAGAGGATTCTTTTAGCTGTGGTCTGCAGAGCACTCAATGTTTGAAAAGTTTCAGGCTAAACATTCAGCCTTTGACTGAAAAATAATTGGAAGTTAGTCTAAGGCTTTGATCATCTGATTGAGCAGAATTCTAGACCCAGCTTGACACTGATCCTTAAGAAACCAAGAATATTAACCCTTTCACTGTTCTGCAAGTGTTCTGTCACCTTGTGTAGCTGTAGACCTCCACTCGGACTACCACTACATAAGCAGCGTGCACGACCCAAGTATGTACTCAAGCTAACAGTGAAAGGGTTAAGACTGACTGACTCCCCACAGCCACACCAAAAAGTGGGTGAGACAGGCTAAATTTAGATATAAGATGAGATTTTTCAGGAATGTGCAAAAGGAACTAGCTCTGATGTGTGCAGTAAATTTAAACTTCATAATTCATAACAGTTTTGTTCCATTGGATGAAAAAACACTTTGTAAAACCAAACAATTTGTTATATAGAACTTCATCATAGAGAAAATATTAAACATGCATGTCAATGGGCAAATGGCTGGGAATTAAAAAAAAATTCATAAAAAAGAAAATTCATGTTCATTATATCAAGTCATCAACTGCATATAATCATGTCAGTGAAATTAATCACAATTGTAGGAACTATAGGTCCAGTAACTTTGAAATGTAAATTTAGATTGCCAAGCTGTATGCTAAAATGAGTAATTGCATATTATATTAGAGCATGCATAGGAAGTTTGGTGAAGGTCACTGCATTTAAACTCAGAAAAAACAAGTAAAGAGACTGGATGGATGGAATTATTTGTGAAAGCAAAGTACTCACGGACTTGGTTTGGGCCTCAAACTCATCCCATGTAGTGGCATCTGAATCATAGTCTGAAAACTTGGATAGCCTTCCTCTTGAACTTGGCCTGGGAGTCAAGGTTTGAGTTAGACAGCATGCAGACCTCGATCGGGGATTCCCAAGAATTTGGACAATCTGTGTCCCGGGAGATGATGCAAATTCAAATGGAGAGGAATGCCCTCGGACAGGAACTGGGCTGAATTGTGGTGATGGTATGAGAAGAGCTGAAAAGGAAAAAAAAAACATATACCAACGTTGACAAAGGACACACCATGCCATCACCATAATGCTAAGCAAAACTAAGATAACAAATATACACCATGTCTCAAAGAAAATAGTGCCAGCTTATTTCCTTAAATATCTGTCAGATATTGGGTGGGGCTCATGTTTCTTACTGTACAGGATATCTTTCATGAATAATGAAGATTTCAGCCATGTTTGTAAAAATTCCACTCACTTCTTCGAATGCAGTAACTCTTCAAAATTTGAGTTTAAAAAACAACTCAAGAACAAGCAGCCTTTGAATTTCTCTTACCCAGGTAGTTCACTAGTGCATGCTCTAATATGACTGAGTGCAGACAGAAGGCAATCTTGATTATCTGATTAAAACCATATTTTCCTCCTTTTCTGGCTTGTATTGGTTTCACCTGGAAATATGCACCTAACAAGGTTGTCTAAGACTACATTACAATCACAGTAGAGGCACTCTTCCCCTATATGACCACACAACTAAAAAATTATAGGAAAACTTGTCTTAGGTTTGCAACAAGGAATGCTCTTTGCATTTTTCAATAACAGTTTGGTGCTCAAATACCATTACATATACAGCCAGCATGCATTGGATTCTTTATTCTCAGTGTTTGCTCCTATACTGAGACTCTTTCAGGTGGCTAATTCTAGACAAGAGATGTAAAGTATCAAATAAAATGTTACTCGTCCATCACATACATGGTTTGAAGGCCATTCTGGGGCTAAGAGCAAGACCTGCCAAGTTTTCACCATTGCCACCTCCATCCAGGATATGGATTCCATCCATACTCCTACTTGGACTCAAGTCTTGTCTCATTGCTTGGAATGCTTGAAGCTGAACCTCCAAGGATTGAATTTTTTCTTTCAAATCCAGCTCAGCGTTGGTAGATAAGTCTGCTTGGCACTCTTGACTGATTCCCTGAGATGGCTTCCTCTCCATATCTTTGACTAGATGTTGAAGATCCTTGACAGCAACCTCTGATGTCTTAAGCTTTTTCTGCATAAGAGACATGCACACTCCTATGAGAGGAAGTCTCAGCTGAATTTGTCACTCAAATAAAATTAAAATGTAGGACAAGCCACAATGAAGAGCAACAGAAATGCTGGAGAGAAACTAAATTCAGTGACATATTACACAGTATACAATTATGGAAATATAACACAATCAAACCTGCAGAGCTAGCACAAGTTGCACCTGCCGCATAATGGCCTCTTCCATACTTGAGCAATTCACTTGTTCTTGGTCAACCTGAACAAGAGTCCTCCTCCACTTTTCTTGTTTCTTGGTCCACACTTTTGCCTTCTCTTTAAAAGAGGCATAATCCATCTGCCATTGCTTTTCCTTCCCCTGCCACATATTAAGCTCCTCCTGCCACTTTCCTTCCTTTTCTTTCCACTCCTGCTTCTGCAGTTCCAAACTCTTCTCCATGTCAACACATTTTGCTGTCAGTCTCTCCTTAACTTCTTTTAGCTGCTCTTGAAATAATTCTGCAGTTTCTTTTGCCTTTTTAAACTCTTCAGCATACTGTCTCAATTTGACCTCAGTTTCAATCCTCTTTGCTTCCTCAACATGCAATTTCTGCTTCAGGTTGTTCACCTCTTCAAAAATAAGAGCTTTCTCATCCAGCCGAGCTTCCAAGTCCTTAACTTGAGATTGTAGCTTCAAAACTGCATCCTCAGCTACCTCCAGCTTCTGAGCCAAGTCCTTACATGATTCTTCATATTTTGATATTTTACTTGCATTTTCTTTCAGCTTCTCTTGTGCTCGTGAGAGGGTAAGTTCCCTTTGGGAAAGCTTCAACTCAGCTTCAGCACACTTCTCAATAGCTTCTTGAGCAGCCTTTTCTAACTCCCTTACTTGCTCTTGCTCCTTGAGGAGTTCAGCTTCTGTCAATTCTTGACTCAAACAAAACCTCTCCACATCACTCCGTTTATTAAGATGGGATGTTGATGCACTGTGACCATGGGCTTCTCTCATGCTTGCTTGAACCTGTGAAAAGCAATAACCTATGTATAGGTTTCACTCAACTCAAAGACTCCTGATATAAGATTGCAATAACAAAGGAAGGGGTCAAGTGAAACATCAACTCAAGAACGAGCTGTAAGTCACAAAATGAAATGCAAAGAATAAATATACCAGCCTCTTTCACATAAATCCTCATCCTTCTTTCCAGGAAAGTTTATTCTTCAGTGAGGGATAGATGCATAGTGCAACCATTCAGTCATGAGCAACATGTTGGATATCCCTGGTTGATAGCTTCAAGAAAAGCTGTTAGCATGACAATGCTCATGGCTATGGTACTGATCTCTTTTTGGCATATATAAATGTATTGACATTTCTGAAGATAAAGCATTTCCTTATGCCAGCAAGAGGAACAGTTTTCACAACGGCTGCCACCCCAATACCAAGCACACCAGTAAAAATTGCATCATGATTTAAAATTTTTAAATGAAAACTGAGTTCAAATTGAGTTTCTTTATCCTCAAATTGATTCAGTGATGGAATTAACAGCAATGGCTGGGATTGGTAAATAATTTTTCATTCAGTGCCACTGATAAGGTTGTTAAAGAACTTAAGATTAATATTGACAGACAAGAATCAGTGGAAATATGCTTAATCGAATTTTACTTTCATTCAAGGGATCAATCCACCATGCACACCCTCCAGTGGTACAGTCCATCTTCACACTTTTAGAGATATGACAGGTGTTAAAAAGAGGAGAGGTGTTGGTCATAATTTCAGAGCAGAGTTTTGGATTTCAAAGCCCTTTTTTTCTCATCTCAAGTCTCCTCTGTATTGAATGTATGCATCATATCTCTCAATATCCAAGCCATTCTTTGAAAGTTTATGAGCTGCACCTCAACAGCCTTTAATATCTTATTTCTGTCCTGAAAACTTCTAATGTGGCATCAAATTTTAAAGTAAAAATGAAATACACTTTGGAACTTAGTCTCTGAAAGCTAGCTGGTGTAGTTACAGATACCCTGAAGAACAAGAGTTGTAATAGATATTCCATGTTTTGGGAAGGGTCAATAGATAGTGAGAGGACATACAAGTGTAAATTCAAGGAAGTAGTGGTTAAAACAGACTCCAAGCATCAGTTTAAGGATTAGAAGTTGTCAAGCCTTCTGAAAAGGTACTTGATCCCTCTCAAATGACTCCTGGAATTTCAGGTTTTGACTAGAACCTCAGAAGGAGATTTTTCCCTTAAGATTCATTTCAGGTGGTCTGGACATTGGATCACAGGGGAACTGGCTGGTCTTAGCTGATTTGCCAACCAAAGGATCGCTGGAGTGATGTACACTGAGTCTATTGATAAACCTAGGATCTCAGGATGCATAAAGGATGAAAAAAAAAAGCTTTAGTCAAATAAATGCACTAAATATATACATTACAACAGGATAAGTATCACAAGTGAATTCTGTTTTTGGAGAGTGCATCAGGATCGGTAGCCTCCCAGATTTCTGAACCTAACTCCTGACTTTCTTCTTTGAGGATATCCAGAAGAGCAGGTCTATAATAACTACCCAGGAGACCATTTAAGTTGGAAGCCAATATTTGCCAGGTGACTGACATTTCACCTGAAAAGTCCATCTATGTCCTCATCGACATATAATCATGTAAAACTGTGCCAACAAATGGGCAGAATACCTTTACAATATCTTTAAGATGTAGTAAATAATGTTAACAGGCAAACAAAAAAAACAAACAAATCTATAAATATCTCTCACTTGTTTTACTTCATTAACACTCTGTGATACTATATAGGGTGTCCCTCAGGCAGTTATAATTTATATTTACCAAAGTAAATCTTCTTCACTGAGTCCCATACTAAGATGACAATAAGATTTCCACATTTTGAATTTAATAGGACTTCTATTAAGCCATCTATGCATTTGTGATACTGTCACAAGATAACCAAGCAAATGTTTCTCACATTCTCACAAGCCTTGTCTTCATTGACTTCCAGCCAGTCCAGGGAGAGTTGGCAAAGATTCTGAGGGTCTCCTTTCTAGGGTGGTAAGGAGTGAGGGAGGCAGAAAGAAAAGAAACAAAAAACAGGAAAGATGATATAAGAAGCAAATACCAAAGGGAAAGTGTAATTTCCACGTATTACTCCATATTCTGGTTTTGAAATAGACAAACAAATGGATTTTCATTATTTCTTTTATGAAAGGAATAAAAAGAAAAACAGAGGCAGTAGTAGGTAAAAATCAACCAGAAATAGAGCAGGCAATTACTCTGTACCTCTGTATCTGTATCTCAGATCTGTCAAGAAGGAAGCCCCTTCAGAAGGCTGAGCACCCTAGGCAACAACTAGCCAAATGGATAGACACATGTTGATATTCTATGCAGAATGTAGAAATCTGGGTTCTCACCTCTTGAGAAGTTGGAAGCCTTTGGCTCATACTCAGCTGAGCCTGTAAAGCAGCATTCACTTGTTCCAAACTCTTGATCTTGCCCTGTAGTTTCCTCAATTCCCCTCCTTCCCATCGGGCTCTTCTTTGCATTACTGTTTCCATAACAAAATAAAAAATAAAAAACTCCAATGTGTTTAATGTGTTTCTAGCAATCATAAATTCCAATATTAAAGGTATTATATTTATGCCAGGACCAGGCCATGTGCAAAGCTATCACCAAGTTCAAGTACCTCCTAATGAACTGAGGCCATTTAAACAGAAGCTGTGCACCCATTGATCAATGACCTGAATGAGGGAGTTTGCTGAAAAACATGGGGTTTGACCTTAGAACTGAATTTGATTATACAAGGGATGATCTGAAAGTTTCTGCCTGAGATAAAAGAAAATATGACGGATTCATGAAACAAAATTTCTCAGGGAGGAAAATTTTCCATAGTTGTCTGAAAATGCTTTGGCATTTACAATGAATTTGTTTTCACCTTCATAGCTGCTTCAAGGGAAGTTTTGCATTGAACTGCACAGCATTGAATGAGTTGTTTTATTTGGGTAAATAAACTGATGTCGAATGAATGCTTTTTTAATAATAAAAATTGCATTACTGCATTGTATTCAATTTTGCCATTTTTAAATGGAATAATATTTGACTGGAACATTTTTCAGTGCCAATTCCTAAAAAAGAAAAAAGTAATGTAGTTGAAACCAATTGTTGAGATCTAACATTTCCAAATAGGTTAAAGGAATATGGGAACCATCTTCCAGCCTTCTCCAACCATTTACATTACATAATAGCAAAAAACTTTTTGATCATCCCTTTGAAGTATCTCAGGTGCAGCTCAAAAACACAGTTCTTTTTTAACTATGAACAAACTAGGAGAAAATATGGATGCCAATATGTGGCCTAGTGGCTCAAAAAAAATTCCACAGTATTATGTGGCTCCAAAAGGAAAACCATGCACTGTAAGGAATACCTTACAATTCTTGCTATGTCTTAACAAACAAGAATCTTAGGGAGAATCATATCTTGAACCATCACATGTATTTATATGAAGACACCTACATCTTCTCCCAATCTGTTCATGTTTGAATAACAGCATTTTTGAGTTGTGCCAAGGATACAATTATACTCAACATATTAATTTTTAAAATAAACTTCAGTATTATGACAAGAACCGGAAAACTTCTTAATGACTCAGACCATGAAAATACCAGCACATTTTAAATATTCAAATGTAAAAGTTAGATAAGATAAACTTTTAAAGATCTATTTCAACCCTTTCCTCACTCTTCAAAACTCCTTTAGCCTCTGAACAACCAGTACTTGTTCACTATTCACAGACATAGGGATTTCAAACAATGCAAACCTTGGGCACCATCATTTTCACTGTCTTCTGAATCAGATGTGTCATGGACCGGTCGATCTTTCTGACCATTCAATTGCTCGAGGCCAATTCGAGCCAAGCTGACACTGCGGTCTGGCTCTGACCAGGCTTCTGATTCACTTGCAGAGAAACCTAAAAACATGGATTATACCATTACATTTTGCCATCTTCCTGATAAGCAATGAAGACTAAATTCCTTAAGTAGTTTTTTGTTTCTTTGTAGTTCAAGGTAGTCCTAATCCCCCCATCTAACAGTCATTTTCAGATAAGATCATATTTTCCCCCAAAAAAAGATTGGTGGAAAGCATGATTTCTAGCACCACTAGGAAGAAAAAGAAAGCCACTTCAAGATATCACCATTTAAATTTATATCTTACAAATTTTCCTTTTTGACCTTTTTGAGTTTTTTTGCTGGAATCTGGAATCCACCTTCTTTCTATGATATGTAGCCACTACTTTGGAATAGTAAATACCACAACTACCTTCACAAAGAACTTACCAATGCAGGGTTTGAATCCAGCTACAGAGTGAGCTTTGGATGTGGTACTTTCTTGGACACGTTTCTTTGTGCCATCCTGTGGAGGACTTGGAACAGGGCTTGGAGATGAATTGACAGGATTGCCATAGCCCAAGTAAGTAAACTGTGGAGCTATAGATGGTATGAGCCAGGAATCATTTCCCTTGACTCCTGCTCCTACAGATGCTGGAGATGGAGGTGGTAAGGCATCTATGGACCCTTGAGTTTGTGGCTTTAATAGCTGGGAGTCAGATAAAGACACCTTCATACTTTTCTGAGGGTCACTTGGTACCTGCAGACAAGAACTCACTGTGCCATTACCCCTACCTCTGCTCACATGGGCATCACCATTTAGAGCCACCAAGTTCAGTTCTTGTGACTCATTCCCACAATTGTGGAGCCCTTCATTATAGGAAACAGGAGACAATTGATGCCAGTAGAGGCTGTGCTCCTCAATATGAAGCTGTTGAGCACTGCGTGTTGAAAGAGTTCGTAGGGTGTTGGGGATGGCTTCTCCTATATTTCGCATTTCTTGCAGACTCAAACTGAAACCCAATCCAAGGTTTCGAGTTGTCCCAAAGTCACACATTTCTCCAGGAGATCCTGCTTGGTCTTTCTTGCCTTTAACATTCCCCAAATCAGCACCAAACATTGGGTGAGATGATAAAGCCTGATATTTACATTGCTCAAGTTCTGCATCTTTTTCTTTGAGCTGTTCCAGGAGTTTAAGATTTTCAGTTTGAAGTGCTTCAATCTGTGAAACTTGAGTCTTTATTGCAGATGTCTTCTCTTCCAAATTTTGATTGAGGGTCTCAATCTGAGCTATCTTTGTTGTAAGTTCATCTGTCTGCTCAGCTACCTTCTTACTTAACTGCTTGATGGTCACATGTTTCCCAACTGAGTCCCTCCCACTCTGGATACCATCCAAACCACTACTGCTGGGAGGTTCTTCCCAACTGGATGAAAAGCTTTCATCCCAACTTGTGGAGCTGAGATGAGCATTAGTGGCAAGGCAATCTGGAGAAGACACCAAGGACTGGGATAGAGAGTTGGAAAGCTGGCGGCTACGGTCCAATGCCACCTTGATGGCATTTAATTCTGAAGGAGATAGTCTTCCATTCATATTGGATGCATTCTGGGAGTCCATGTTCAATATGTGCTCCAGGAAGTCTGCCAGTTGCTCCAGGTGGGTGCGAAGCAGATCACAGGTAGTGTGACTCTCAGCTAACCGCTTCTGGAGTGAGGTCACAGCTTTCTTATATTTCCTTGTGTTGTCAATATGTGCCATAGCTCTTTCACTTGAACTTGATGTCATTGAGGATTTCTTGGCTGATTCCAACTCTGATTTCAACTGAGTGATTTGCTGCTCAGCTTCTCTTTCTTTCATAGCATGATGCTGCTGCTGTTGCTCCAAACGATTTTGCATATCTCGCAACTTCTCTTCCAATTTCTCTCTTGTTCTCAATTTTTCCATTTCAGAGAGCCATTGTTGTTTCTCTTGCATGAGTGACTTTAGATGCTCCACCTCATTTCTTAGACCATTGACATCAGCCATGGAGCCTGCCTGCAACTGATGCACATATTGGGAATGAGCCACATTCCCATGATTCTGTTCTTTCAGAGGTTTCTGTGGGATCAGCTGGTTTTCCTTGTTTTCTCTTTCACAAGATATGCTACGAATCCTCTTGGAGATAGCCCCATCACTTCTAGAAGCTTGTAAAAAGCTCTGTTTAGGGAGATCCTTGGCTCTCAGTTGTTTTTTGATGTTATCAAGTTCATTATCCTTGCATGCAGCAGTTTTCTGAAGCTCTGCCATTTCTCTGAGTTTTCCCTCTGCCTTGGCTTGGAGAGAGTTCAGATCCAGTTGACAAAGAGGTCCAAGCAACTTTGCCAAAACATCCTTCAGGTTTGTCAATTCTTGTTCTTTTGCAGCCTTTTCATCTTCTAAGCACTTCACTTTATCATTGTGTACCATGATGTTAGACTGTAGGGCCTGTAAAAGAAAGTAAAAACTCACATTTATTAGTTGCCCATAATGCCATCAATACAAGCACATCATGAATTCTGGAAAAATGTCATCAGAGACTGATTGGAACATCACACATGAATTTGTAATCATGGAATACTGAAAGCATGAATATTCCAGCCAATTACCAACCAAAGTATTTTGCAAAAACATGAAATACTCACTTCAAGCTGGTGTTGAGCTTCTTCCCTGGTGGCCTGCAGTGAGGAAAGCAATTTTTCTTTCTCCTCAAGCTGTGCCCATAGTCTCTGAAAGGGAAGGAATTGTCATAAAAAGTAGCCATACTTGATGCAGATCAGCAACTGCTCAAAGAAGGGGAAGCCAATGGAAATGCTTGATTCTTCCATTGCAATAAACAAGCACAAGACCAAAAAGGAGCAGGATTGAGGGAGACAATATCAGTAATATTGATGAAGTAAGCAAATCAAGGAATGGATTTACAAAGGCATGCACAATCTCCAAGAGAGCCAACAGGGCATGAAACATCGCCAAAGAGGAAATGCAACAAACAGAAACAACAGGTCATGCAATGCAATAGATGAAGCAACAAGTCATGATCTCCAGGGTGCAATGAGATGAAGTTATGAAATTCAAAGGCAAGGGGAATCTGTTGGATGCCAGCATCAGAATTTCTATACACTGGTGCCATGATGCCTTTCCATGAAATTGGTAGGTCTCACAACCACCAAGCCAATATTCCAAAAATGGAAAGCCCTGGAACTTGTTTGTGACACATGAAAAGGATGCAACACTTCATTTCTCCCAAGCATAAAAATTGTATCCAATCCAGCAGTTGTCAGTCCCTTTTTTAAAGATATATATTAAAAAAAAAACAAACAAGAAAATGAGATAAATATAAAACAAGGATTTATGGAAAAGGAATGACAGTTGTACATCAGAAAATACAACATTTGCTGCAGTATCGGGTAGCTTGGGGGTCACAAAAACATTTACACACAAGGCTGGAGATGCCAAATTTGAGCATACATGAGTCACAACAAATTTAGGCTTAAAAAATATAAATTGCTCATATCAGGAATGCTAAAAGCTATGTTCAAAGCAGGACAGATGCATGAAAAGGGAATGCAAGGGGACATGGATGCAGAAATGCAAAATGCACAAAAATTGGATTTGGTGCAAACAGGATTACATGAAGACAAAAGAAGGCAAAGGTGCCAAGTTCAAGCATGCAAGGCCTTCTGATTGTGTATGTTGCACACTATCTAGGTATTAAATAGGATTTCAAAGACCTCACCTCATTCTCCTCATCAGCAAGATCCTTCAAAGAGGCTGTAGCAGAAGCATTGGAGGCTGCTTGAGCCTCCCACCTTGCCTTATTCAACATGTCCTGTGCCTCACGGAGCTGTGCTGTCAACTCCCGAATTTTCTTCTCTTTTTTCTTGTTCTCGGCCTCTTTTTTCTCAATGCTAGTAGTGAGTCCCTGAACAGCCTTGTGGGCCTTGTGCAACTGGGCTTCAAGATCACTTATTTTCTGACAGGCAGCATTGAGTTTCCTTTCATACTCTTCTAATTCTTTCTGCTTCTCATCCAAGGTGATTTGAATTTCTACTAGAATCTTCTGTTGCTGCTCTAGCTGACTGTTTTTTTCCTCAATAATTCGATCCCGTTCTTCCAGCTCATTCCGTTTCACTACTATCTCAGGCTCCAGAACCTGTACAAAATATGCACATATGGACATAAAGTATCCTGAATGTAAAGGCTTTTAGGACACAAAGTACATGAAAAAGCCAGCAAATCTATCATATGCAAATCAAAATTCTGCTTATTAAATCCACTCTGAACCATTTAAAGTCATGTAATAAAGTCTAAAATTGCATCAAGTAAAGTTGAAAGCACAATCTTTCTAACCTGTAGATCTTCCGTCAATGTTTGGATGCGGTTATTCTTCTCTGAGATCTCTTTGTGACGAGTCTCAAGGTCATGAACGAGACTGTCAATGCGGTTCTCCTTTTCTGTCATTTCAGTTTCAAGCTCTACAAGCTTCTCACTCTTATCCTCCAGTTCCTGTTTGATGTTCTCCAAATTTTTTCCTATGGAGTGAATGTCTTCCTCTTTGATCAATATTTCCTTGTGCAACAGGCCAACTTGCCCTTCAAGTTCTAGTATCCTTCCTCTCAGTTCATTCACTTCATCTTCTGTATATGTTGCACCAAGAATACCTGTGGCATCCCGTGAGGGTTCATCAGGCATATGGATCAACTCAGCAGGAGTGGCAACCTTCAGCTTCTCCATAGCCTATAACAAGCAAAAGCATAAAAGAATGAAAGAAACACCCAAAGCATTTTACAATACAAAGGTACATATCACGAGAGAAAATGCTATATTTTTTCTTGGTTCCATTGTGAATGAGCATTGCATCATCATAGTTTTCATGTATGCCAAAACTAGAGATAAAATTACTTGCTAAGAGATTCTCAAATTGTCCCCTGAACAGATCCCATATGGATTGAGGAAGAAATTCTTTGCATAATGCAAAAGATATTGAAGATTGATTGGACAGAATCAAATGAAGCTATTCAAAGCAGTAATTCTAGCCACTGCTGATAGCATTGATCACACCAATTAAAGTGGCACTAATCTTTGGTTTTCTTATTTATTTAAATGCCTCATTGATGAGTGAAATGCTCAAGGAATAACATCTCAATTGTATAATAACGCTTAGGGATGAGTTATATCCAGCATGATTGGAACAAGATACTAGATATCACTCATCTAAAGTTCATAAAGACAATGTTGAAATGCTTGTCAGCTTTTTTTCAACAACCCTGCCTAAGTTGTGCAATGCCCATTTAGAAGCAAATTAAAGGTGCTTAGAGATGGACCATTCCACCTCAAGTGAGGTGATTACCTGTGCTTGACCATCTCAGAATTCAATTAACTTTTCAGCTTTAACTTTTCAAGGGACAGTTGCATCCAGCTGATTCTTGACAATAACGTTCAAGAGTCTAAGAGGTTTTTCTCACTTCTGCAAGATGGCGCTGTTGTTGGCCAAGTGTGATTAAAAAAAGTTCCACTATTTTCAACGGGGAGAAAGAATGATTCGTGTATTCAAGTAAAAAAATATAATATTCATGAACTCTTGATATTGGACATATAGGTGTTGAAAAAAATTTTTTTCTTAACAATTCTCTGAGCCATGTATTGTCCAAACAGTTTACAGGTGGAACATAACATCTTTTTTTAAAATCACCCTTGGTCATCCAGTCAACAACAGCACCCTCTATCAGGATACAGTGCCATCTTGCAGAAGTGAAAAAAACCTCTTAGACTCGAACTTCTTTGTCAAGTATCAGCTGGATTCAACTTTCCCTTGTTAAAATTGAAAAGTTCATTGAATTCTGAGACGGCTGAGCACAGGTAATCACCTCACTTGAGGTGAAATGACCCACCTCTAAGCACCTTTAATTCACCTCTAAATGGGCATTGCAAGACTTAGGAGGGGGTGCTGAAAAAAAGCTGACAAGCATTTCAACACCTTGTAACTGTCAAATATCGATCAAGTATACAATGTAATTTTCTTTGCTGCATTAATGAAACTGTTTCTCCCATAGAAAATGGTAGAACTTTTTTTAAAACCACCCTATATACACAGGTTAGAATCAGGCCTATAACAGATCAAGCCTGAATATGCAACAAGGGGAAACTATATCATACCTGTTGCAATTCCAAGATTTGAGCTTCATAACGTTCAGCCTCTTGTTTTCTCTCATGAGCATTGAGCTCTCTTTGCTTCTCAAGAGCCTCAAGGGCACCTGATGCTTGAGTCAAGAGGGACTGTTTTCTCTGCAATTCCCGGCGAAGATTCTCTGTCTCCACCTATGAGAAAGGGCAAAGTGGGCAAATGAATGGATGTTAAGCAGACCTAAGATCACAATATCTAAATCCATGTGGAAGTACTTTTACATGGAGGCCTAATTGAATTTCTTATCCAAGCAGGTCACACTATGTCAAGCATGGTTTACAGTATTCAGTGTAAGTAGCATGAAGTGTGAAACAAGAAGAAAAAGATCCTATCATCATAACACTGAGAAAACCTACTTGAACAAGATGTCAACGAAATGATCCAAAGGGGTACTAGAGTAAACCAATATTAATAATTACAAAACTCAATACTGCCTTCAGCAAGAAAGTCTGCTCCAGCAATAGTTCTCTGAAAATTCATTACAATTTGCCTTTGCCAATGATCTAGAACTGCAAATTGTCATTGCTACAGTCAGGGGTAATTACTACATTAAGGACTAAACCTAGACTATCCTGATGCATTGTCTAAAATAAGCTTTATCCCAAGTAAAGTAGTGCAAGTGTAGTCCAGAATTGATAAATCAGTCCTCAAGAAACTAGCTAAGCAGCTTCTTGGCCAAATTTGAGGGATAGGTCTACCTTGAGTTCAATGTTTGCTTTCTGCAGGTCTTCACCATTTCCTCCTGCTACTCCACTCTTCCCAAGCCGTTCTTCCAAAAAATATATCCTCAACTTCAGATTGAAGTTCTCCTTACGGAGTTCAGAGAGTTGCTGGTCGAATTCCTTCATCACTCTGGTTTTGATTGGTGAGCTTTTCCCAAAACCAAATGCTGAAAAATTGAATAGGCCTAGGGTTAAACATAAACATAGTCAACTAAAGGCACTAATAGGGCCAACAGCCTAAGGCCCAATCACAGGCTTCTTGATCTACTCAGTCTAAAGTACATATATCCCAAATGCAGTGATACAACTCACTGAGATTATGTTTTTATGATATAAAATCTTTTATATAACTGAAAGAGATGTATATGAAAATGAAGCAGAAAAGTTCAAGAAAAATTTCAGTGCAGGTTTAAGGACTTTAAACATCAACATGTTTTAAACATCTACACCAGGGGTGTGCAACCCACAGCTCACATGTGGCCCATGGACCTGCTTCCCGCATGCTTCCCCTAATTATTCCTCACCTGGGGGCACTACATAAGATCTCCAGAAAGAAGGTTCTCATTTCCAAAGGCTAATTTTGGGCATTAGAATTTCCTAGGGGTGAGGCAGGGGTAAGGATCATTGGCCAACCAGTGAAAACCTTATGCACTCATATGCCCTGAGGGCAAAAGCGGGGAGCCTTTTCTTTTGCATTCTATGGCCTACATGAAGAGTCAGACATTTCCATGTCGCCCACTGCTGATAAAGGTTGCACACCCCTGATCTATACAAATTCAAGTGTTTACCCAAGTCCTGCAGTGCCCAATGTGTCTACATGAATTTCTCCTTGACCCTTAGCAATTTTGCATTATACCTGTATTTATTTATAGACATTTGTTGTCTTGGGACTTTGTCAACTTGAGATAAGCCTAGCTTACTGAATTAAATTCTCAGAAACATAGCAGACTAACAGTTCACTAGTGAATACACTACTGTAGTGCTGAGAAATGATGGGAGTGCAGCTCCTAAAGATGCACAAGACCACCAACATACAAACTCCTTTTCCTCTCAGTATGTGCATACTGAGAGGAAATGTGACAATTTCTTTATGCAAGCTCCAAAATGAAAATATAATCTTCAGAGAAGCAGAATGGTGTATATTTCATGATCATTTTCTAGCAGAGTATGCTAATATGTTTTCTTTTACATTTTTCCTATGTACAGCTTCTTACTGGGCATCTTTCTAATCCAGTGTTTGAATGGGCACAGGGATATGGTAGATAATATGTATATATACATTGTGTGTTTTGAAAAAACCCTGTCCCCATCTTCCATGCATGCAACTCATTGCCATATACTTTGGCCTTTTCCTGTCTTTGGTGCTCATTATCACAAATAAAACCAATGTTAAGAAAATCATCCATCCAATAATTTCATGTCTCCAGGGCTTGACTACCAAGCTGGCAACTGTTAGCATAGTTAAGACTGTCAGCATTGAATTCATCATTAAGATAACTATTAAGTTTAATCTTTTAATGCTGAATAAGACATTTCAATTCCCAATTAATGCGAATGTTAGTTTGTGAACACCACCTTCCAGTTCCAGGAGTAATGGTCCACTGGAATTCCCTTTTCCAAGAAGTCAGAGTCAAGCACACTACTGAAGCATTCTTCCTCATCCATTAAAATAAACTAAAAGCCACCCTGCCACCAAATGTTATACTAATTAGAATTCAAGGAAACCCAATTCCTTTACAAAGGGATAGGAGGAAAATTATTGTTGACTTATTACATTGGATTATTTCTGGGACAGACTCTCTGCCTCCCCATCCCCTCCCTAAAAAAAAGAATAAAACCTTCCAAATTCACTTGTGAGCAAGTACAAACAAGACCCAGAGGGTACATTTTTTAATATTCTTTCCACATCATTATGGTTATCATATTTTCACATCCTATCTGCTTAAGAAGTGGCCAAGACTATGTCATACATATCCATAGGATTAGAGACAAATGAGAACACAAGACACATGAATGACATTCATGACCTCACTCAAGTGAATTGATGACGACAGCCTTTCAAAAATCCCATTCATCATAACTATAATAGACTTAAGTTATCACCCTTTATGGCATTCATGAAGATACACCAGCAACTATATTGCCTTCATACTTTGTACCTTGTGTACTTCTGTAGCCCATATCTTTTGGGCATACATTTAAGTATCCATAGGTTTCAAATTTGAGCTGGATTGGCTTGAAACAGGACAGCTTATCAATGTCATAGGATTATAAATATTCACCATAAAAGTACATACTAGTGTGCCTATTCTCATGTGTGCCCATATAAATGAAACAAGAAAGACAATATGGCATTCAAGGGCATTGTTCCCTAGGACAAAAGGTATTGGCCCTACATCCATAATGACATGTCATGCAAAGCCCTATTAAATTCTCCATGCTTAGATGTCAAAGCTATCAATAATTTTATAATTTACCAAGCATGCTTCAATGGATTCTTGAAATAGGTCTACACAGAATAAAGTTTTACATAATGAAAATTCCTAAATGACAGCCTGACTCATTCTTTATGAATGATTACCCTTTCAAAAGCAATGGCATGGAACAAAGCTACAATGATATTAGCCTCCTCTTTTCAACCAGTATACTCCTAAAATGTTCACCACTGACCCAGGCACAGACCTGCCACTCTACTGATTTCTGTAGGCAGTTGATATACTGCTGGTAACCAGACACCACTATGCAATCAGATGGTACAACCTTGGAATGCATCTTAGACATGTACCAGCTACCACCTCTATATTGCAGAAAAGCTTCTCCATTTCACAAGATCATGCAGATAACATAAATCTATGTTGTTACACATACAATAGGTTCCTATGGCAACTGGGGAGCAGATAGAATAAATAATTAAATATCAGGGTTTTTGAGATCAGCTGACAAAGAATGATGCAATAATGTAATTGAGAAAATTGACACTTTGACAGAATAGATTTTCTACAAATTTCAACGGTAGGGGCAATGAAATGATTATTTGTCTACCATAATACGTCTATGGGGTATTAAGATGGTCAACAGGAGAATGAAAATTAAGGAATGAAAGACAATGGAAAGAACTTGTGCAATTACTGCTACATATGTAATTATGAACATTACTGCATTCATAACATCAAAATGAAGGTTCCTGATATTATACTCAATCATGTGGTTCATTAAGAAAATACATGTCCTCCTATATTAGCCTAATCTACTGCACAAATTGAGAGCTATGAACCTTCAGAGTTTAATTGGGGGAAAAAACTCCCAACTCTGGCTTATAGATCCTGAAAGACAACTGTAAAACCACAGCTCTAAGACTATATTTCACACATTGACCACCAAGTATAAGACACCTTGTACTAAGCTTTGAACTATACCACACAGTTGCTGAATTATAACATTGCATGATGGAGTACTGGATATTACTAATTGCTTTCATATTTGTTCGAATTTCTGTGATTGAGTAAAAAAAATGTGAAAGATTATATATTAATTTGTTTACTCTTTTCAAATTTCTGTGTCATGTGAATAAAAAAATGGTGGTGGTCAATGTGTTAACTGAGGTAGCAAAAAGGTCAGAATGCAAACCTAATGTTAGGATAAATTGATTGGCAAGCTGAATCTATATTTACAAGATGAATAGCTATGGGGGCTAAATTTTTTAGAGCAAATAACTGACAATGAAGCATCCAACTGTGATATTAAACTCTGAATAATGTAAAATCCCAACCCCCCTATCAAACCCAAGAGAAAAGAGTGTTACTTCGGCTTAAATTAGCCCATGCTTACCCCACAATACAGGCTAATGAGTAAATACTATGGGCAAACCTACAGGATGGGCCAGAACCACCACCACCACCAGGTATGCCTCCAGAGGTCACTTCATGTAGCAGACTTGGGCTTGTACTGCAAGAAACAAGAACCAAAATCCCCTTTGAATAAACGCTACTGCCAGGAAGTCCGACTTCAGCTAGCCTAACTTACAAGCACAGGTTGGCTTAGCATGGTAACCTAGGGACCATAGGCCAGGGGTAGGCTACGCTTACTCCTGGCCTACTCTTAGGCAAGACAAAGTTAACGCTTAAATCTAACGGTACTGCTAACTACTCGGAGATTACGTCCACTTTTGTCAGACTGGAGAAAATACGCGCTGCCTGTGTTAATGATAACAATAATCAAGTTTCTCTGAACATTATCTAATGGAGCAGAGCGCGGCACTTATTCTACAGCTGCGAGCTTTGAAACGAGCGTATTCGACCGTTGCTTCCAACGAGCACGTGACTCGCATTTTTTTATTATTTCAATGACATTTACTTCGGAGTCCGTGTCTCAAGTGAACTGGATGGCTCAACTCGGACAAAAAATGTAAAACAAGATCAATCGGAATACAGCACATCAAATCTGCTAATTCCTACTTCCATCTTCACTACGCGACTCTCCCATTCCTCCACTAATCCTTCGAATTCATTTCAGGTCGCATGATCAAGTTCGCCACCTCCTCGTATCAAGTGGTTGCAGGTTTAAATTATAATAGTTTTTTTAATGAAGACTTACCTGAGGATATGACAAGACAACTCGCATCGAATGTACTCGAATGCGTGTCCTAAAATAACTTAATCCGTTCCTCAGCTTCCTTCAACTCGCCGCGCAGGGTCAATGAGCCCACAGGGCCCCAAAAAATAAATAATAATAAAACAATCAATTTATCTGCCATCTCTATCCTGTGTCTTGCTTTTGGGAATGGAAGGATTGAAATGTTACTATAGCTAAAGTGCAGTCTCGTGATAGAATTCAAACTCTCAATGCGTCCAGTTGGCGTAATTTTTATAGTGAGCAAGCATTATCTACAGCTTTTACCGAGTGCAAATGAGGGGCTAATTTTGCGACAATGCATACTATACCCATACCCTTCGCCTTCCCCAAATCCTGCTCCCTCCCCCTTTGCAGTTAACTAAATGACGTCCCTAACTTGCACGGCGTCAGTCATAACTCAAATGTTTAACCCTTTCACAGTCCAGTTTTTCTGAAACCACCCTGAGTGGCGACTGATATTTCAGTACGTAACCGTGAAAGGGTTAATTATGGAAATGTGGTTTAGAACTATCATACACCAAGTCCTTCAATTCAAAGGCAGTGTGCCAGAAGCGATTAATAAAAATTGAAGTTGACTTAACAAGGGGGAAAATATATATATATTATTACTCACTCTGATGGAGGAGGGAAAAATTTTCGCTTATTATGCAATCCTCAGTATCGCGAAACTTACCGCCTCAATATTCATTGGAATGCCAGGCCACTTTCAGACGGAAGAGGGATCGATGCACTTAAGTTGAAAAATATTTAGTTCTCAAAAGTGCCCGAAAGTAAAAAAAAAAACAGAGCTGCCAAAGATAAAGTCTGGTTAGTAAATATTTTGAAGGCTTCCAAAGTTCGTCGATCGGCAGAAGCATTTATGAACATTGGGTGAAAAGAGTCAACAACTCCAGCACTGGCCCAACACGACCAGAGGTCGAAACGCCTCTACTGTGTCTCTTGGATAACGAGTGCTGCTTTTTTCTGTATTTTGCATAGGTTCTTGTGCTTCTGGCTTCACAGTTGCTAGGATGCTATTCCAATTGTAAGCATTTCGCTGAATGCACTCTCCTGAATTAATGCATTTCCATGAGAAACAATGCACTTGTTTGCATTCATGCAACCTGAGTAGCTGCAATGGAATTTGTAACTGCAGCTTGAGGTTTCCTTCCTTCCGTAGGCCTACTAACCTTAATTACTCTTATGATAAGCTCTGACGAGAGATTTTCTTGACGTATCTCAAGAAAAGAAAAAACTGGGAAAAGTTTTTAAAATATTCGTATCCTCATACAAATGTGTGAAGCATGACGATGAATCTCAAGTTGGTCAAACGACTTACAACGACATGTGGAAACATATTCTCAGTGTTGTCCGAAATCCCACTTGAAAATGCTTAAATACTGTATTTCTAATTCCAATTCTTTATGGATGAAATTAATTAATATTACTTCTCACGTGTTTTTCGGGCAACTTTTCATTCCTACCTCCTAAGATCAACACAGCTGAACACAATTTAAAAAAATATGTTTTAGTACCTAACCACCAGTCCCTCAGGCTCAAGTATGAAGTTAGTTCCGGATGATATACAATCCCGGCAGTGGATATCTGTCAGCAGTCCATCTGGCATATTTACAAACCCTGATTTTGAAAGAGTGTAATTCATGGAAAGCCATGGAAAAATAAATGAGACTTCATCTGCAGACCCTCGTTCAAAGATAAATGTATTCTTAATTAAGCCTACTGGGATTTAAAAATAAGTAAATTGATTATTTTGTTTAATTACGTCTGAAGCCAGACGTGGTAAACGCAACAGATGCTGGATGTGAAAGTCAGCTCTCCTTGACTCTTCGAATAGGATTTGAGAGGGGGAAATAATATCAGGTTCGGAGCTGCTATCAGCTAACAGCTGCTACCAGTATAAATCAGGAACCACCTTTATCTTCTTCGCCGCCGAAGCCTTTTAATCTTTGGAAAACAAAATGATTCCTCACCTGAAAGCAGGACCATCGCTTGACCCTGACGGTGGACTTCGAGGAGATAAGGGTGATCTCGAGGAAGCCCCAAAAAAAGACATTTCCATCACGGTTCATTCACAGGTGAAAGCACACGGTGCGGACATGAGGGCAGGATCAACTGCGAAGAAAAAGAAGCGCGAACGGGAATGTTTTTGCACCTACAGTATATACGGCACTAGAGCTATGGAGTTCTAGACAGTGTCAAGTGAGGCGGAGACACTAGACAGCTGAGGGGCTGCTCTCTTCGCAGTCATTATGGATTGATGTGTCACCCTAGGCACATGAAACTAAAGCTGTGTTGGAGCTGGAAGGGGATTTCGTCTTACTCATCTACCGCACAGTGTACAGAGTTTCACAAGTGGGGTACACGCACATCACGCATAAGCACACATCAGCGGACACGAGCAGTGCGAAGAGGTATGGGAAGAATGTGGAATCGCATCGCACCCAAGGATGAGATTCGAACGATGGAGGTAGCTGGGCTTCGTCGCCGTTCCTCTTAAATCCCACTGCGCGAAAATCACTTTTCACTGGTTTGCTTGCGATTTCCTCGTGCTCAGGGGATATGCAATGTGTGACTCGATAAGATAAACGGGCACGGTAACTTCAAAGAGGCTTGGCTTCAACCACCCCACGTTCCTGGTTTGCAACGTTCCTTGTGAAGAACATGGGCCAAAAATAGGGAAGGCCTGCCATACGGCCAGGAATCCCCGGATGCGCTTGCGCTGTGGATGCAGCATGAACAGGAACGGAGAGGAAGTGATCTCGAGGAGAGAGGGAGAGGGGAGAAGAGGGAGGGAAAGAAGACGCGATCAATCGACTAGTTTTGGAGCCAAGTATTTTCCAACATTCCCAATGCGCAAATTTTTTTTAAAAAAACTTTTCTTCCAAAAGTAAAATGAACGAAAAAGACGGTGAAAAATATTGGACACCCACGAAAAGAGGCGAAAGCTAGTTGTACCCCTGAAATACAAGCGGAAGGAACGTGCGGCGCAAGGACGGAAGAAGTGTGACTCGCGAATGCTCATTAAACGGGAGCCAATAAGGAGGGGGGGAGGGGGAGGGATGGGGAGAACTGTCATGAAAAACCGAGAGCGTCGTCTGTATGGCGTGTGTTAGGTTCTCCATGAGGGAATGCCAACAAATTTTAAGGAGGTCCTTGCACCGTGCATACATCGGAGCTGCGGCGTAATATCACCGCATGAAACGTGCATCGTCCTTGATGTATTCTGCAATTGGAAAGAAGGGGGAAACCGTCATCTTGCAGTTCTATCTCTATTGATGGAAAACACAGCCATTTCATTCGTACACTTCACCTCCACTCTATGCACACTTGAATGTAATATATAGCAGGACACCTAGCTCTAGGGAATGATGGGAAAAGTTTCAGTTCAAGTATCATGTTTTGCACGGCGTCGTCGTCTCCCTACTCGCGAATTGGGGAACGTCTGGCAAGGCATCTGCAACTCATCATTTCAACTCCACGTGCTTCCATTTATCCATACAATGCGTGCAGAGCATGATGTTCGCCCCACCCTCATGCTCACTACTGACAAATGTTCCCTCGAGACCAGAGGCCAAAGAGCCCGACTGCAACCATCTGCTCATTCCTGTAGCAACAGTTCGCTGACCTGTCAACGAGTGATGATCGAGAGAGAGAACCTTCTCTTAATCACATGAAAAAATGGCATTTCTCGCTTGTCAGTTGTAGTAGCACCGTAGCAGTACCTCTCATTAACTGAGACTATTAAAAAAGTGAAAGCCAGAATTTAGACAGGTGTATATTGCTATCAAATCAACATCACATAACCCAGAACTTATAGTGAAATGAAGATTGCATGGAGTCAATTCTAGCTTTCAAGCTGAATGATAACATACCGGCAATATTAATCCCAAAATTGGGCGATAATAAATAAATAAGTCGAGGTCAATTTTAAAAGTCATTTAAAAAATGCTCCCTCCTCCTTTTTGCTGCCCCTAAATCTTGCCTACTTTGCCTACTCGTTAAAGCTGACCCTGAGTACATACAAAATAAATGCAAATAATGAACAGCTTCGTTATCCCAATTTTCCTCTTAATAGGCGAGGTAAAAGAGGGATGCCAACCAGTTCACTATAACTAAGGGGAATTTCTAACCAGAAATTCTTGCGAATATTCGAATGGACGTGGAGAACGACGACTGAAACGCCTACCGTGTTCTGCGTGCTGAGACCCTCAAGAAGACTGTAGAATATATGTCGTAGATGCCTCCATTCCGTAGAGTCATACGGGGGCAGTTCAAGTGAAACCTGCTCTTTCTTGTGCTGTGAAACAGCAGGACATGATAAATGCGCGAAACTTTTGCCAATGCAATGTCGTAATCCAAATGCACAAGCCTACTGTCCGAAGTGCCCGCAGCTACGCTGCCTTGCCTTCTTTGATTCGTGCTAGAAGAAATAGTAAATTCTTATTTCGACAAGTAGCAGGCTCTGATCAGTTATTAAAGGTAACATTCCACTTTGCCCCGATCTGTCACTAATGCCCAGTCTATTCTCTAAAGCAGATAATATGATACCCTTGGAAATCTTCATTTAACCATACGCTGTATACTCCCAAATACACTACTGTATAATATAATACACCACTGGATTTATTTAGTTATTTACCTCCAGTGCTTCAGCAGCAGTGGCCAAGCGCAGGACAAATGCATAGTTATATAGATGGAGGTTACGCAGAGAACGAGGCAAAGTTTCGTGGATCTGTCATGTCTTATTTGTTTCACAGTACAAGGAAATTCAAGTACAGTATCTCTTGAACCACCTTCATGATATCCTCCACCGCATGTTCACGGTCTG